GGAAAATGCTTTGATGATAGATGGATAATTAGGTATGAAGGGAAAGAAAGATGTTTTAGGGGATATTCCCAACCTTTTACATTAATACAGAGAAGACGGAACTCTTTTCCATATCTCATTCTTTTAGCAATAGGATGGAGTCAAGAGAGTTTCCATCAATGAGTACTTATCAAGCACCAGGCATTGTGCTGGGTGCTTTAAATGCATTACCTCACTTAATCTTTACAGAATGGGGTGGTACATTTTAAAATCACCCCTAATTTTACAGATACCAGAATTAGGATTTAGGCAATCTGGCTCCAGAGCCCAGGTCATTAAACCACTTCTTGGCCCATCTGGCAGGCTCAGCTCTGCAGTTCACAATGCTGCACACTTTGGAAATAACTGAATTTCTCTGTGATTCACTTTCCTCATCTGTAAAATAGGTTCTGCTCCAGGATTGTGTTGAGGACAAATGAGCTAATAATAGTGAAAGTGTATGGTTAATTTGCCTGACAGGTAAGGTGACCAGTTGTCCCAATTTTCTTGCGAGGTTTTCATTTTTAACACTAAAAGTACTGTATCCTCAGAAATCTCTCAGTTCCAGGCAAGTTGGGACAGTTGGTCACCTCTGTGCAAGTCCCATTCCAACCTGTAGACTCTTTGGGCAAAGTGTTCATAGATTTTGGGAGAACAGGAAGCAGCTTGAGGAGGCAAATGAATATTAGCTGATGATCTAAGACACTGTCAACTTCTGTGGGCTGAAAGCCTTAAGGGAAGTTTCCCTGATAAGGCCTGTGAGAAAAGTGGGGGCGTTAGAGCAGCATGCAGGAAACAGGATGCTTGTCAAGCCACGGTTCTAATGCTTTAAATCTGTAAGCCTCTGATGCACAGCCTGTGTTCAGAGGCTGGAGATAAATTACTGATTACAAGGGGCAGGGGTGGGAAGGCAAAAGGTAGGGGGCAGGGAGCCCTGGTGGCAAACTCAGCCAACTTTGGCTTTCTCCAGGTAGAGCTTTTTCCCTTTCTTCTTTTATAGAACATGCATTTTGGTGAATTTGAATCTGATTTTGTCATTGACTAACCATATGATATTGAATAAGCTACTTTACCTCTTTATTTTATTTTTTAAAAGTTTTTAAATTTTAATTTCAGTACAGTAAACATACAGTGTTATGTTAGTTTCAAGTGTATAATTTAGTGGTTCAAAAATTCTGTACAGTACTTACTGTTCATCATGATAAGTGTACTATTAATCTCCATCCCCTATTTAACTAATTCCCTCACCCTCCTACCTTTTGGTAACCCTCAGATTGCTCTCTATAATTAAAAGTCTGTTTTTCTCGCTTTCCCCTATTTTTTCCTTTTGCTTGTTTGTTTTGTTGAGGAAATCATGTGGTATTTGTTTCTCTGACTTATTTCACTTAGCATTATACTCTGTAGAGCCATTAATGTCATTGCAAATGGCATGATTTTGTTCCTTTTTTATGGCTGAATAGTTTTCTATTTTTTGTAAAAAAATATATATACCACATACATATACCATATGTATACACACCACATACATATACCATATATACTACATATATTTTATGTATATACACCATACATATATGTATATATATACACACACACACACCACATATATATACATACCACATATATATATGCCATACGTATACACTATATACCCATCTTCTTTATCCATTTACCAATTAATGGACATTTGGGCTGCTTCCATATCTTGACTATTGTAAATAATGCCGCTATAAACATAGGGGTGCATGTATCTTTATGAATTAGTGTTCTTGTGTTCTTTGGGGAAATACCCAGTACTGCAATGACTGGATCACATAGTAGTTCTATTTCTAACTTTTTGAGGGACTTCCATACTGTTTTCCAGAGTACCTGCACCAGTTTGCATTTCCACCAACATTGCATGAGTGTTCCTTTTCCTCCACATCCTTACCAAAACCTGTTCTTTCTTGTGTTGTTGATTTTATATTATTTTTAAAAAGGTTGATTTATTTATTGGAGAGAGAGTGGGAGAGAGAGTGCAAGCATGAGTGGGGGGAGAGGCAGAGGTAGAGAATCTTCATACAGACGCCCTGCTGAGCCTGGAGCCCAACTCAGGGCTCTGTCTCAGGACCCATGAGATCATGACCTGAGCTAAAATCAAGAGTTGGACACTTAACCAACTGAGTCACCCAGGCATCTCTCTTGTGTTGTTGATTATAGTCATTCTGACAGATGTGAGGTGATAACAACGCATTGTAGTTTTGATTTGCGTTTCCCTGATGGTAAGTGATGATGAGCATCTTTTCATGTGTCTGTTGGCCATCTGGATATCTTCTTTGGAGAAATGTGTATTCAAGTCTTCTGCCCATTTTTTTTTAAGATTTTATTTATTTATTTATTTGACAAACAGAGATCACAAGTAGGTTGAGAGGCAGGCAGAGAGAGAGAGAGAGAGAGGGGAGGAAGCAGTCTCCCTGCTGAGCAGAGGGCCCAATGTGGGGCTTGATCCCAGGACCCTGGGATCATGACCTGAGCCAAAGGCAGAGGTTTTAACCCACTGAGCCACCCAGGCACCCCGTTCTGCCCATTTTTTAATTGGATTATTTGTTTTTTGGGTGTTGAGTTGTGCAAGTTCTTGATATATTTTGGATACTAGCCCTTTATTGAATGTATCATTAGCAAATATTTCTTCCATTCTGTAGGTTGCCTTTTAGTTTTGTTGATTGTTTCCTTTGCTGTGCAGAAGCTTTTTATTTTGATGTAGTTCTAATAGTTTATTTTTGCTTTTATTTTCCTTGCCCCAGGAGACATATCTTGAAAGAAGTTGCTACAGTTGATGTCAAAGAAGTTATTGCCTTTTCTAGGATTTTCTAAGATTCTTATGCTTCCAGGTCTTACTTACATTTAGGTCTTTAATCCATTTTGAATTTATTTTTGTATATGGTATAAGAGAGTGGTCCAGGTTCATTCTTTTATTTGTTGCTGTCGAGTTTTCCCAAGACCATGTGTTGAAGAGACTGTCTTTTCCCCATTGGATATCTTCCCTGCTTTGTTTAAAGACTAATGGACCATGTAATTTTGGGTTTATTTCTGGATTTTCAATTCTGTTCTATTGATCTATGTGTCTGTTTTTGTACCAGCACCATACTGTTTTGATTACTGCAGTTTTGAAATACAACTTAAAGTCCAGAACTGTGATGCCTCCAGCTTTGCTTTTCTTTTTCAAAGTTGCTTTGGCTATTTGGGGTCTTTGTGTTTCCACACAAATTTTATCCCCATCCACCACTACCCTTCCCTCTGATAACAGTCAGGGTCTGTTTCTTGGTTTTTGTCATTTTCTTTCTCTTGTTTCCACTTTGTTCATTTATTTTGTTTCTTAAATTCCACATATGAGTGAAATCGTATGGTATTTGTCTTTCTCTGACTGACTTATTTCACTTAGCATTATACTCTGTAGCTCCATCCATGTTGGAAATGACAAGATTTCATTCTTTTTTATGGCTAAACTATTCACCTCCTTAATCCTTAATTACTGTATCCATAAAATGGGAATTACATAATCATTCCTAACTTCCGGTGGAGTGGTTAGCATTGAATATGAAACTGTGACTGACATGACGGGAGCATTCAATAATTCTTAGTTACTGCTATTGCTACTACTATTCCTACTCCTACTATTATTATTAAATACTCTATTAGGGTAGGGTTGCCAGATTTTACAAATAAAAATACAAATGCCTGTTAAGTCTGAATTTCAGATAAACAAAAAATATTTCTCAGGACATACTTATACTAAAAAGTTATTCATTATTAACTTCAAATTCAAACTTAACTGGACATTCTGCATTTTATCTGGCAATCCTGTATTAGAATGATGAAACTATCCTAGGTCTACAGGCTTTCCTGGGACACAGGACTTCTAATCTAAAATCAGGACAGTCACATGGGCATGATTTGTTACTCTGTTAAGGTAGAAGTCTGGTTGCTGTTTAGAAGGTCACACTTGAAATTCAGATGATAGTGGTGTGGACTCTTTCCCTAAAAATACACGTCTGTGTTTTGCATATATTTTCAGGAATTTCTTAGACTCTTTGAAGCCTATCCCATGAATTCCTGGTTAAGAATAGAGATTCTGAAAAATCGTCCAAGTTTGAAGCAACTTTCCTTATTCTTCTCTGGCAAAACCTGTGAACATCATTTGAGGAGATTCAAGAAATATGTGGTGAGGGAGCTGTGGACCTCGAATCACTCCCCAGATGAGTTTTCAGAAGATAAGTACATTGATTGATAGAAGGAAGATTAGTGCCTGTGTCTATGTATCATAAGATGAGATAGTCTCTATGTTGAATTTCATCCACTTAGTTAATTCAAGCTTTCTTCTAAATCCACTTTGAGGCCACAATGATCTGTTTTGACGGTCCAAATTGATCAAGTTGATTGAACTTTCATATTTATTATTTTCCCATATGAAGAATTGAGACAGGTCCCAGACCCATCCGAATCTGGGGGATATGAAATAGAAGATAGAAAAAAGCATATGCCTACCTAGCTCTCGCTCCTTTTTCCTTATAGCACTTACTAGTTCTTTTCTCTTTTAGAAAATATCATGAAATATATACACAAGTTGCTGAATATAACAGACAAGGACAGGATAGAGAGTGATGATAAATAAATAACCACATACTCACCATACAGCCTAAGAACTAGAATATCATCAATCATTCAAAGACATGTGTATGTCCTTTGTTTTCACTGTTATACAGTGTTCAATTGAATGAATATATTTTGACCTATTTATTCATGATAACTGATGGACATTTGGGTTGTTTCAGGTTTTCTTTTTATTCTTCTTTTTTTTTTCTTTTTTCCAAGCAGTGCTATGAACATTCTTACACATGTCTTCTTGAGATACAAGGACAAGTGTTTCTCTGTGGTGTACCTTTAGGAGTGGAATTGTTGGGTTGGAGAACAGATATAGCTTCCACTCTATGCTGATTGCTTCTGCAGGTCTCAGAAGAAGAAGAGAAGTCACAGTCTCACCAGCAGTGTATGGGAAACCCCATTACTCCACATCAACACCAACACTTGGTATGGTCAGACTTGTTAGTTTTTGTCTATATGGTAGATGTGAAATAGTGTCTCATCGAGGTTAAAACATTTTTTGTTATCACATATAAGGCTGAGTATCTTTTCACATGCTTATTGCCATTCATCGTTTCCTTTTGTGCAAAATGGCCATTCATGTCTTTTGCCAATTTTCTATTTTTATTGCTTAGATTTGTTGCTTATATATGTTGCAAATGTCACTTCCCAGGTTGTGGTTTTCTTGTCACTCTTTATGAAGAGTGGTTTGTTACGTGCTTATGCTTGTCATATTTATAACTACTTGCTCAGTGTCTGCCCCTCTGACTAGATTGTAAGCACCATGAGGCCAGGCATGGAGTCTAGCTCTGTCTTCAGTACTAGTACAGCACCTGAGGTACATAGTAGGTGTTCAATAAATATAAACATATAAGTATACCTACACATAAATATGTCGTGTAATAAGGAGTCATTGTTATTGCTGTTTTTGAAACTGCCTTTCACAGAGAAGAGCAGAGCAGGTTAGGTAGGAAATCTCTGCTATTTACTAGTTTGGTGACTTTTGGGCAATTAACCTTGTTGTGCATCAAATCCTTTACCTGGAAAATGCTATCTGGTAGGATTGTTGAGTGAATAGTACAAGGAACTTTGAGCAGTGACTGGTAGGTAGTGAGCACTACATAAATGTGGGCTGTTATTCTTATTTTTCTGCTGAGTGAAAACCCAGGTTAAATGTTTCTAATGATATGTTTGGGAATCATAGAGTGCTGGCTTATTCTGCATTGCTGAAGGGAGAATATTTGAGATGACAGGGGCAGTTGGGTGTTAGGTAGAGAAAGGGTAGAGGACACTCTAGAGGTAGAGTACCTGAGAAGGGACTTTGAAACTGTCAACTGTGTATTTTTTTAAATTTAAATTTAAATTTATTTATTTATCTTGCTTTGAATAATATATATTTATTTTTTTAAGTTTTTTTTTTTTTAAAGATTTTATTTATTTATTTGACAGAGAGAGACACAGCGAGAGAGGAAAGACAAGCAGGGGGAGTTAGAGAGGGAGAAGCAGGCCTCCCGTGGAGCAGGGAGCCTGATGCCGGGGCTCAGTCCCAGGACCCTGGGATCATGACCTGAGCTAAAGGCAGAGGCTTAATGACCGAGCCACCCAGGCGCCCCTAAGTTTTTTAAAATTTTCAGTGTATTTTTATATTTATTTGTTATTAACATACAATTTATTATTTGCCCCATAAGTGTATTTTTAAGAATAGCAGAAATCCCACATAAGAGACTCTTAACTATAGGAAACAAACTGAGGGTTGCTGGGGAAGATATGGGGGAAGGGGGGGGATGGGGTAAGTAGGGCACTTGAAGTAATGAGCACTGGGTGTTGTATGCAACTGATGAATCACTAAATTCTGCCTCTGAGACTAATAATACAGTATATGTTAATTAAATTGGATTTAAATAAAAGAGACTAGCAGAAGTCCTCTAATCTGATATGATAGGAGCAGTGTACAGTTAATTAAAAAAGAGGTTAAATCAAGATATCATTTAAAAACACATTTATACATTTTATTTTAATGTAAAAGACACACAAAGCAAATGTTCATCTCCTCATCATTTGATGTTCAGTGAAGGTCTTTGTTTCCTGGTCAAGTCACCCGCCATTGAAGTTCTTTGCTTTTCTTGCACCAGGCACTCTGTAATGCACCATCTGTGAATTCTAGTTTTTATTTTTTAAAATTGGATTGTCAGCTTAAAAGAAACTTGGGATGTTATCTCAGTGCAGAGTCCTTCCAGAGGTTTACTATTATCCCCATCTTTTGTAGTTACTCTTTTTCTCAAAGATTGAACCTGACAGTAATTCCTTTAAAAGCATACCTTTATCGAGTCTATACAATGCATTTGCCTCAGTTTTGATAGAAGTGAGAGTTGTATTTTTATACTTATATTTATCTGTTTATATTTAGTTGAATTACATAATTACAATAGCAGTACAACTGTCCCAAACAAGATTAGGGAATAACAATGTTTGGGCATCAGTTATGAGTTGTACAGAGGTCATGGGAAGCGTGGCTGGTCAGACAGGGGTCATTCAACGTGGCTTCTAATGTAGCTCACTGGAGGCCACAGACTGTCTTTCTCTGAGATCATTAGTAAAATCGTCATTGTTTGCTCCTAATTCTCTGGGATTGGATGTTTTGGGGGCAACCTGAGGAGGAGTTGAAGTTCACATCTGGGTGCCTTCAGTGGAAAACTTAGATGACTCCCTGGACACAGGACTCAGGGAAGGGCAGTTGAGGGAGTCTGAGGAATTACAGGTATCTTAGAGAGATGTAGGGCTTCCCCCACACCACAGAATTAGGATTTTGAGGTAATTTTATTGAGATTTCAAGTGACAGAAGTGTCAGATGACATGATAAAGAAATAAATGTGTTCAAGGAGCTTAGACGTTAATTCAAAAGGAAATTCCCCTGTGTCTTTTCATAGATGTTTGTATGTTATGAGAGGACCAGAGAGAGGTGGTTTTACAAGTGGGATTTTCTAGGGGCCATGAATTCTCTCCACAGGCTGTTAGGACTGATCTACCAATTAGACCACCTTTACCTTCTTTTCAGTCTCTGTATGCCTAGGGCTCAGCATGGCTGAGGAGACTGGGGTGCGAGGAAGGAGGTGGGAAGATTTATCTGCACAGATCTGAGGTATTTTCACCATCCTGCCGTGGTATGTGCAACAGTGCCTCTCTCAGGAAAGCTCAGACCTTGTCATGTTTATGGAGTACCTTGCAGTTTAAAACCAAACCAAAATTCCAGTCCTATTTACTCCACACCAAGTTTTAGTCATTCTTGTGGTAGGCCTAATGCTTGCTTCTTAAGATATTAAAATCTTGGTGAAAATGCAGATTTGATAAAAGTGGTAATGAAGGAAACTTCCATCCACCCATAATAGTTTAGAATGAATTAATTTTCCAAATTAGTAAAAAGAGAGTAGAGTCTCAAGGGAAGGGAACACTTGGCATATTTTGACTAGGGGGTGTGTTATCTGAAGGTTGAGAGTGCATGGGAGTATTTGAAAGAGAACCTTAGCTAACTTTGAGACTCTGGGCAACAAAAGGGCACTATGATGCACTGGATGCTTCATTGGGAGGATACCAAATAAAGAGAATAACAAGGAGCTGAACAGCACCTTGGTATTTTTCACAGTTTTGTCTAATGGCTTTGGCCCTGACCATTAGACCCTGCTGGCTGACTTTGGTTTCTTTGTGTTCCCTGGAATAGCCAACAACTGGCCTTGTGAAATTTTTTTCTTCTATGCCTTACATGTATTGAGCACAGGGGAGCTCTGGTTCTTCCCTAAGGACAGTGAGGGGCAAATAAGTCTTTATATTGGATTTGGCAGAGGCTGGAATGACCATGTACTGATGCTGTATGCTATGTTTTCTTTAATGTATATTCCATGGATGAAATCATTGGGCAGATGTTGGTTTAGCTGGTTTCAGTATCCAGGTTCTGAATTCCCAGGGGGGTCTGCACGGTTTTCCATTAGCAATAATTATTATTATTTTAGTCACTAACCCTTAGTTGGGTTCTTACTATGAATATGTGATGAACTAGCCACTCTCTATGCATTATCTCATTGAATCTTCCCAGCAGAACTGTGAGGTGGGTACTATTATTTTGAGGAAACTGAGGCTGCCTAAGTTTAAAAAAAATGAATAAAGCTGGTAAGTGGCAGAGCCCGGGTTTGAACTTGGTTTGTCTGGCTTTAAAGCTGGTACTCTTAATGACTATGTGGAAATATAGCCTCTGAGCAATCAAAGAGTCTATTCTTTTTCTTTCAGTTCTAGAGAAATCACAGGAAGTATCTTTTCACCCCATTTGCAGACTTGCCTGAGTTGAACTCTGTTGCAGCTAAAAAGTTATCCTCTGGGCTTATTCCAGTATGTGAGGAACGTGCAGATTGCTGTGCCATCTCAAGATCATGGTGTCCAGGTCAGAGCAACAGAGAGAAACTTCCAAACATGCTGGAGCTAATGATGCTATAAAACTCAGGCCTCTGTAGGCCAAGGCCATTGCAGCCATTGGAACAGCGCAGACAAGAATGGCCATCTGAGAAAACCTTCCCAGATGTATGAAAAAAAAAATCACAAAACAACAGAACAAAACCAAGGGAGAAGTAATTTTTTCGTGTGAGGGCAGGTGTAGGTTTGTGACTTCCTGGAGCACTTGGAAATTACAGCAGTTCTCAATTTCATGTGCTCAAGAAAGATTGCTCTTTGCTTTTCTTTAAAATAACCTCAGTCCCCATTTCACTGGTAGACCAGAAATTTAGTCTTGCTGAGTTCTGGGGACCAGCTCCTGGGGATGGCCCAGGTCATCAGCCATCAACGTGCCTCATTTGATGAGATTCCCATAAACTCGGCTCACATGGTGTGATTCCTGCCCTGTTGCTTTTGTGTCACAAGTGGGAAAAGAGCATCATTGTCAGCAGGGAACCACACAGCCATTCCTTGCTAAAGTATTGCTATTTTTCCAGAACACTACCAGATGATGCCCTCAGGTGTCTTCCCCTGTCTTTTCTTTCTTTCTTTCTTTCTTTTTTTTTTAAGATTTTATTTATTTATTTGACAGAGAGAGAGAGAGATCACAAATAGGCAGAGAGAGAGGGGGAAGCAGGCTCCGTGCTGAGCAGAGAGCCCAATGCGGGGGCTCAATCCCAGGACCCTGAGATCATGACCTGAGCTGAAGGCAGAGGCTTAACCCACTGAGCCACCCAAGTGCCCCTCTCTGTCTTTTCCTTCCATGTTTAGGAATTTCCTTCTTTCTTGAGATAATTCATTTCTCTTCTTGTTTCTATCCGGTGAGTGAATTACCTCTGGTCTCCAACCCTATTTTCTTATGCATTAAAGACTCCTGGCATATTCTCTTCAGTAGATTTAGGCCAAGAATTGCAAACTCAAATGCCCACAGAGGCTGGATAGGAATGGAAGTGAGTAAAGCAGCTTGTCAG